GTTCTGTTGAGGTACAGCTTGTTGTGCCTTAAAATGGCTTCTACTGTACAGCGTGGTAATGGCTTCACAGTGCTCCACAAGGGGGCTCCCTCTGGTAAGGGGGAAAATCCAACATTAGAAATTACGTTTGGTCCGGACATTTTCCCCCTATAAATAAATACTTGGGCAACGCTTGAATATCAACTAGTCTAATAATAAAATGATAAGCCTTATTTGATTTACATTAAGATTGAACTTAAGTGATATTGTCCCGCCCCGTAGTCAATCATTTTCTCTTTGGGTGATAGTAAATAAGATTATACCAATACTCTTCCAAGGCCTATCAGGACTGCCTCTGCACACAGTCATCCATCCCCAATTTGAGCATTTTTCTTGTCCTCTTTTTCACTGGAAGGGGAACCACACACCCACAGACAACTGTCTCACTTATTTTGGCCATGTCATGCGGGGAATTTCATGGGAGAAACCAATTATGTTTGGAAGAGTTTAGCAGCAAAAGGAAACCAGGCCATTAAAGGACACGGTGGTTGTATACCATCAGAGTTGATACCAGCCAGAGCATAGAAGAACTCGAAGAAACAGTGCAAGATAGGAAGATGTGGAGAGACAATTCATAATTCGGTAATTAAGGATGTGTGTTTCGTTTCGTTTTGTTTTTTTGCATTCTTACTACAGCAGATGGCAAACTAGTTCAAGCACATGGTTATTGTAAATTGAGGCTCTCTTTCTCTTATGTTAATATCATTCTTGATTTCTAGTTGTGTAAAAAATGGTTTAACTTTTGTTCATAGTATTGACTCACATTTTTAACCAGGTTAAACCAGATTTAAGATCTGATCCTACAACAATTTTTGTTTCCGATGTGACTTTTTATGTCAGACATCATGTGCAATTTTTTGCAAATTGCAATGACAATATATGTTGTGTAAGGAAAACAATATAAGCATTAAAAAAAAATAGCGCAAGATCGGAAAATATGAAGAGCCCTGACCTTTAATCTCCAAGAGATGAACATGACTGCAAAATGGATAACATCCTCATCTTGTCTTCTTAGGTTGTCATTCTTTTGTGGGGTCCTTCCTGGAATACTATGTTGATGATATGAGTGAGTAAGCTTCATTTTGTATCTTAAGAAGCCCCATTCCTTGGAAGAGGGTGGTGTACATTATATAACAAAATTAAATCAGCTTAAAGACAACAGGGCCAGCTTGGAATTCCTTTTCTTGTAAAACTGTTTTGATGTCATCAATAATGCTCAGACCTTCTGCACTTCCACGTATTGGCATTCTTTAAACTTCTGATACTCACCATCCTGAGAACGTTCTGTGTAGGCTGTGTTACGGGTAGTCCTCAACTTATGACCGCAATTGAGCCCAGAATTACAGTTTGCAAGTAGTTGGAATCATAAGTCAAGGTATCATGAGAATGGACCCATTTTTTTTATAATATTTAGGGTGGCCATTAAGCAAACATTGCGGTCTTCAAATGGATACCACAATCATTAATGGGATCAGTTTCGTGACCCGTCAAAACCGCAGACGACAAAATCGCGCTCGACAAAAGCGCGTACGTGACGTCATCACAGCGCGACGAAAACATCGCGCTGTGATCGATAAATGTAAAAATAA